AAGCAGGGCCCCCGGAGTCATGCGCACATTGCGCGCAGAGGATTGAATGTTGATTCTAATGCTGGATTACCCTAGTTGGAAAAAACAAAGCCTCCGGCGGGCGCTGAGCCTCAGTCCAGACTGCTCCGAACCCCAGCTCTAGGCCAATCCCTGGGGACCCAAGCTCAAGCAGAGGGAGACGGGGCTGTGAGGTGGAGTCCTGGGAGAGCGGCGAAAGGCCAAGTCCCCGGAGTCACACACACTGCTTACAAGGGAAGGAATGTTGACTCTAATGCAGGACTGCCCTGGAGGGAAGGAAACTGGAGCCCCGGCCGTGTTGGGCCCCAGTTTCGACTGCTCTGAACCCCAGTCCTAGGCCAGACCCTGGGGACCCAGGCTCAGGCAGGGGGAGATGGGGCTGTGAGGCGGAATCCCAGGGGAGCGGCAAAAAGTGGAGCTCCTAGAGTTGCGCACACTGCGCACAGAGGATGTCTGTTGACTCTGATGCTGGACTCCCCTAGCGGGAAGGAGAAAAACGCTCCAGACAGGAGGAACGCGATGAGGAGCAGGAGCCCCTGCCGGACACCGGCCAGCCAGGCAACAGCAAGGAGCCGGGCGACGGGGCCCCCAGGGGGGGGGGTGCCCCTGAGCTTTCGACCACTGAGTGCGGGCAATGGAGCCAAGGCCGGGAGCTGCTTCCTGGGCGGCACCGACCCGGGCAACAGGCTGAAGCAGCGCAAGAGCCCACGGAGAACAAAGGGGTGCCACAGGCCAACCTAATGAGCTCCCAGGACAAGGAGGAAGAAACCAAAGAAGTTCTCAATGTGAAGAAATCAAGTGAGAGCAAAAGATAGTAAAATTACTTAAGAAAGAATACAAAGAAGATCTTGAAAAATCAAAGACTAAGTCAGAACTCAACTCACCAGCCAATGTTGCAACATAAATGCGTTGTTTTTTTTTTAAAAAAAAAAAAAAAAAAAAAAAGGACAGAATGTTGGAACAGCGGCGGCCAGGCCTAGAGTGGCCAGGCACAAGGCAGTGGCAGCCGGGCCCGGAGCAGCAACGGCCAGGCCCCAGAGCAGCAGCAGCCAGAACCAGAGCATCAACAGCCAGCACTGGAACAGCCAGACCTGGGGCAGTGGCAGCCAGGCCTGAGGCGGAGGCGGCCAAGCCCAGGGTGGCCAGTCCAGGAACACCCAGACCCGGAGTGGCCGGGCCCGGAGAAGCCGGGCCCAGAGCAGCTGGGTTGGGAGCAGCCAGACCCAGAATAGCAGGAGCCAAGCCCGGAGCATCCAGGCCAGGAGCGGCCAGACTCGGAGCGGCCAGGCCCAGAGCAGCCAGGTCGGGTGCGGCCAGGCCCGGAGCAGCGGCTGCCAGGCTGGGAGCGGCCAGGCCCGGAGCAGCCGGGTCTGGTAGGGCCAGGCCCAGAGCAGTGATTGCCAGGCTGGGAGCGGCCAGGCCCAGAGCAGCCGGGTCTGGCACAGCCAGGCACGGAGCAGCAGCTGCCAGGCTGGGAGCAGCCAGGCCCGAAACTGCGGTTGCCAGGCTGGGAGCGGCCAGGCCCGGAGCAGCCGGGCCCAGAGCAGCCAGGCCCAGAGCAGCCGGGTCGGGTGTGGCCAGGCCCAGAGCAGCGGCTGCCAGGCTGGGAGCGGCCAGGCCCGGAGCAGCCAGGTCTGGTGCGGCCAAGCCTGGAGCAGCAGCTGCCAGGCTGGGAGCAGCCAGGCCCGGAGTAGCGGCTGCCAGGCTGGGAGCGGCCAGGCCCGGAACAGCTGGGTCTGGCGCAGCCAGGCCCAGAGCAGCAGCTGCCAGGCTGGGAGCAGCCAGGCCCGGTACAGCCGGGTCGGGTACGGCCAGGCCCGGAGCAGCAGCTGCCAGGCTGGGAGCGGCCAGGCCCGGAGCAGCCGGGCCCAGAGCAGCCAGGTCGTGTGCGGCCAGGCCCGGAGCAGCAGCAGCCAAGTCCAGAGCAACTAGGTCAGGAGCTGCAGTGACCAGACCCGGAGCAGCTGGTTGTGGAACGAACCAGAGCAACAGAGGCCAGGCCCGGAGCAGCCAGGCCCGGAACAGCTCGCTCCTCGCCTGCCCCTGCCCCACGGCTGTTTCTCAGACATGGCTGGAAACTTTCGCGGGAACTTGAGGGTCTGCTGAATCAAGTGATGAAGGCTTAGATCTGGATGTGTTGAGTTAGTATAGGGCTGGGGTGTTGATCTGTGAGTGCCTTGGGTGGGGCCTGGATGAGGCTAGTTGACCTATTTGGAAATGTCTTTTGTGTGAAGTGTATCATTGGGCATATGGAAGTATTATTGATATGAGAAAATACTAAGTAACTGATTTACTATCTGAAAAGGTATTTACTATCGGGGAAAGGGAGGGAGGAAGAGACTAAACATAAACTGTGCACCTATGGATGAGGACAATGGGGGATCGGGAGGGGGCGGAGGGTGGGGTGGGAACCTGGTGGAGGGGGGAAGAAATGAGGAACCTTTGTAATAATATGAACAATAAAGATTGATTTAAAAAAAAAAAAGAAAAAAAAAAGAAAAGTACATTTAATATGATAGTTTCATAGAATGCTCACAATTAGCATGAATGTGTATTGATGTCATTTGAATTCCATAACAGTACATCATAAGTAATCACTATGATTAAATCACCCCTAATGCTTTGGTAGAGCCAGAGCAAATGATTTTAATCACTATGACTACTTATGATTACATATCTAGGTACTTATGATGAACAATCACCATGAAACTCAAATGACATAGGTCTTACGTAAGCCTTCAGTTATAACAACTCTAGAAGCCCGGTACATGAAAAGTCATGCACTGGAGGGGGGGGGGGGGGGCTCTCAGCCCAGCCTGCCCCCTCTCACAGTCCGGGAGCCCTCAGGGGCAGGAGGCAACCCGGCAATCAGGGGAAGGCGATGCCCCATCACACCTCTGCTGCTGCCACTTCCAGCAGCGCAAGCCTTGGGTGACCCTGGTTACCTGAGCCTCCAGCAGCCCTGGTGGCTGGGCAGCTGCCATCTAGGCTTGCCTGTGCCTGGGGCCAACCCTGGGCGGCTGGGGGGCTGAGGAGACTGGGAGACTCCAGAGGCAGTCATGCAAAGTGGCCAGACCCACCTGGGGGAAGTCCCAGCCTTGCTGCATGCCTACCACTACCACCCTGGTGGGGCTGTGGGGATTGGGCACCACCATCTTGTGGCTGTGGGCGCTGCCATCTTTGATGGTGTGGCAGTCAAATAGCATATTCCCTCCTTACTGGCTGTGGGCACTGCCATTTTTGCAATGGCATGTAGCTCAATTAGCATATTCCCTCTTTATTAGATAGGATATATGTATATACATATACATATACTAGTAGCCCTGCACACGAATCCATGAGCAAGTAGCTCGCTGCCACTTGTCTCAGCTGGCCACCACACCCACTGCCACTGGTAGCTCTCTGCCGCTCGTGGCTTGCTATCCTGTCCTCCTGTAGCTCTCCACCCATTGCCCCACCCTCCTGTAGCTCGCTGTCTGTTGCCCCACCCTCCTTCAGCTCTCCCTGCTCATAGCTCGCTGCCCCACCCTCCTATAGCTCTCTGCAGCTTATACATTGGTTCTGACATTATGGCATCCTGGCTAATTTGCATATGATTCTCACATATGAAATTTAAAAGAGATAATAAACAATCTTGTGAGGTAAAAAAGTCATTCAAAATTATTTGTTTTTACAACTCAGGAAACCAAAGCTCAAGGTTAAATGGCATAAACATTAACCCAAGTGCACAAAATTAAAATGTATTGAGCTAACCACTGGGTATAAGTGCAAATAAGACATGGTATCTATCCTTAAGGAGATCATGGTCCAGTAGAGAAGGCAGAAATAAACATCTATATATGTTTAAACAGTATAAAATGATAAATGTACTTCTAATAATCTCTAATTATACATCAAATTTATTAGTAACTAGATAATACTACTGAAACTTTTTTTTTTTTCAGCAAGTTCAGAAAGAGATCTACTAGAGTAAAAAGTTAAAATTGTCATTGATAATTCACTAAGTAGATCCTCGGTAAAAAACATAAAATATCTTCTTAAAGGAGAAAAATGCATAAAATTTTTAAGTTCATAAGAAATAACGTGAGTTTATAAAATGTGTTAGAAATGTAAGAAATTTGTTATAGATCTTTAATGAGGCAACTATAAATATTCTTTAATGTAATAAGGCTTACAAGAGAAATACAAACCAGAAGTTACCTCTGAGTTGTTCAGGGGTGGAGGGGGAAGGGGGGAAGTAAGACTGGATGATAACTATTTATTGTATTGGCTGAAAGCAGAAAAGTAAAAAGAGAAGTTCATGATAAAGTAAAAGTTTAAAGATCTATTAGTATCTGCTAACTGACATCCCCTAGCTTTTTCCCATACTTTTTTTCTTATTTACAATCCCCACTCTTCTAGAACTTAAAAAAAAAAAAAAAAAAAAAACCTCCAATTTTCATTTCTCTTATTGGCATAATAAGCCACTTTTATTAATGGAATTCAGCTATCTCAAATCATTTTTGTGAGAAATGCACTCAGCCATTCATTCAGCAGATACTTACTAAGAACTAAGTGCCAGGTACAGTTCTAGAATCTGGATACAAAAGCAGTAAATATGGCAATATGGAGGGATGGAAGAACAGGATAACAGATGGAAGAATAGGACAGAGAAGGAGGAGAAATATACAGATGTCAGGGGAATGGATTTCAATTGCACCAGAAAAATTAACTGAAATACTCAAATAGTTAACTAAATTTTCATTAAGAGTCTGTATCCATTTTCCCAAAATACAAGTGGAATAGTTGATAGTTTTTTAAACTGGTTATTAGCCATGCATGGAGTGTTGGTTCCAACACCCGTTGCAGCCACCATAAGAAAAACATCATACTAGCCATCAGAGCACATTTGCCTCATATTTAGTAATAGCATATCTGTTGGGGAAGAATAGAGGAGGGCTCAAGAGAATATTTATGTTGAGTAAAGTTATCACTAAACATACCTTTCATTTAAAAAGAAGCTCTTGTGAGGATTTAGATTTTGACAAGATTCTAGGCTGTCATCAGATGATGAAGAAAGCTGCTCTGATTGCAAGTTGTCTGTATCACCCAAAGTGGCCTCAGTAACAGGAGAGGTCTTTATGTATTTTCTTCCTAAATCCGTTCCCAGGACATTCGTCAATATAACTCTGGGTATCCTGTCACACAAAATAACAAACACTGTTCTGTACTGAAGTCTGCAGTAACAAATATATTCTAAGAGGTTGAATTTTCAAACATTTTCATCTTAATACAAGTGAGCTATAAGAACTATACCACCCTAGAAATCAACCTGTAAATATTCAAAATTTTGGATATTTTGGATACTCTTTTTTGTTTGTTTATTTCTAAAAGTACTTGTGTCTTATTAATTTGCATAGATTACCCTACTACTACAATGGCTTTAACTGTGATATTGGCTGCTATTGGGGTGCTTAAAATTTTAAACAATTTTTCTCAAAAAATTCTTTCTTCTCTTTTACAGTCATTATTAAAAATACAGGCCCTCACTGGTGTGGCTCAGTTGTTTGAGTGTTGTCTCATGCACCAAAAGTTTGCCAATTCTATTCCCTGTCAGAGCATGTGCCCAGGTTGTGGGCTGATCCCTGGTTGGGGTGTGGGCAAGAGGCAACAGATCAATGTTTCTCTCTCTCTCTCCTTCTCCCTTCCTCTCTCCTCTAAAACCAACTAAAAAATCCTAGCTTTAAAAAAAACACACACATTACTACAAACCAGTTCAAGAAATCATTATTCTCGCCAAAACCAGTTTGGCTCAGTGGTAGAGTGTCGGTCTGCAGACTGAAAGGTCCCAAGTTCGATTCCAGTCAGGAGCATGCACGTTAGTTGCGGGCACATGCCCGGTAGGGGTGTGCAAGAGGCAATTGGTTGATGTTTCTCTCTCATAGATGTTTCTAGCTCTCTCTCTCTCTCCCTTCCTCTCTGTAAAAAAATCAATAAAATATATTTTTTTAAAAGAAATCATTATTCTTTTCATTAAACATAATGGTCCTTGATAAGAAATTATATACTCGTAATTGGCAAATGACAAATGCTAAATCCAACAAGAAAGGCACCATTCAGATTGCAACTATGATAATGAGAGATGCCATAAGTAAAACAGCACATATACTGATGGTAATATATATATTTTTATATAATAGCATAAAGGAAATAGTTGGTATACATTTAGAAAATTGAAGTGTATTTTTAAAGCTTAAAAAAATGTTAATTGGAGTGGTTCATATTGAATGTACTAGGTAACCTTAGTATCTTCTTAAACAGAAGAATATTATCTTCTGGTTAGCCAGTTTTATTATGAACAACTGATGTACTTTGCTACACTACACTGATGCCCTCAAGGCTACTATATGGCCTTCAATTGACTGGCCCAAGCAAAATTATTATAATTTTTTAATTTCTATTACTGTATTTTTTAAGTTTTCATGTCACTGCTATCTATGTGTCATTAGCAGCACTTTAATGATTCTTTATGAGAAACAACAGATTAATACTTAGAAAGTACTTTTAAGTTAAAAATGTGACCTGCCTTATACTTTATTATATTTATTGTAGTACTTAGAGAAATACTCTATTTTTACTACTGTGTTTCCCCGAAAATAAGGCATCCTCCAAAAATAAGACCTAGCGCATGGAAAGATAAGACATCCCCTGAAAATAAGACCTAGCGCAACTTTGGGAGAAAAAATTAATATAAAACACTGTCTTATTTTCGGGGAAACAGGGTACATAGGGACACTATGTTCTTTTCATAACGTTCAAAACAGCATAGAATTTCAGATCTCTGGAGAACTTTAAAATAATTTGGTTGCCAAAACCGTTTTGGTTCAGTCGATAGAGTATCAGCCTGAGGACTCCGGTCAAGGGCATGTACACTGGTTGCGCAGGGGGATGCGCAGGAAGTAACTGGTTGATGTTTCTCATCGATACTTCTAACTCTCTATATCTCTCCCTTCCTCTCTGTGAAAAATCAATAGCCAAAACCGGTTTGGCTCAGTGGGCAGACTGAAAGATCCCAGGTTCGATTTCAGTCAAGGGCATGTACCTTGGTTGCAGGCACATCCCCAGTGGGGTGTGTGCAGAAGGCAGCTGATCGATGTTTCTCTCCTATCGATGTTTCTAATTCTCTATCCCTCTCCCTTCCTCTCTGTAAAAAATCAACAAAATATATTTTAAAAATAAAAATAAATAATTTGGTTTTCTCTTTACTTCAAACATGAAAAACTGAAAGCTCAGAAAATTTAAGTACTTGCCATATATAAGTAACTCTTCTTAGTAGAAGCATCTGAACCTATTGTTTTTTGGTTTTTTATTTTGCTCGATTACACAGTCTGTATCCACAATACTAACATGCCAAAGGGTTCAGATAACTAAGCTTTTCTATCAATAAATACTTCAGGAAACCTTTTAAAATATCCATTTTTATTAAAACCACCACAAAAAAGTATTATAATTATTATATTGTATTTATGATCTAAAAACAGAAATAGTAAATAGTACAACACCTGAACTCAGAGTTTAAGTGAAGAAAGAAGGGAAAGGAAGTCTGTCACCTAATACAACACTTATTGTGAGGAGGGGAGGGCAGAAACATTCTCCTACCTCCTTGCATGATTAAATCTCTAAGGATCCCATTTATTATGGTCTGGTCTGTATATCTGGTGCCTGATAGAACCCTCCTTAAACAAATGGATTTGAAATGGGAATAGGGACAATAAAGGACCAGTAAGAAGTCTCAAGATTTCTTTTACCTGACCTCACACTAGAAATCGCTATAAAATTAATTGTTAAAGAAAACTTGCCTCGCTGGTTTGGCTCAGTAGATAAAACATCAGCATGAGAACTGAAGGGTCCTGGGTTCAATTCCGGTTAAGAGGACATGTTGGGTTGCAGACATGTGCAGGAGACAGTTGACCAATGATTTTCTCTCATTATTGATGTTTCTCTCTCTCTCTTTCTCCCTCCTTCCTTCCCTTCCTTTCCCTTCCTCTCTGAAATCAATAAAAATGTATTTAAAAAAGAAAACTCAACTGTGGTTCTCAATACTTTAGAAAAAATACAAGGATATTAGTAAAGAAATTTTTATTCAGTTTAGAACTATCCTTTTCTAGATAAATATTATAGTGTAAATAAAACTATACTTTAATAAATAAGAGAATCTAAAATGCAACACACTGATGTACTGAGGGGGGAGATTAAACAATGAACTTATAGGCATTCTAGAGACCCAGTGCACGAATTCATGCACAAGTGGGATCCAGCAGGCCCGCCCCAATCAGGGCTGATTGGGCTGGGCAGGCCGGGGGGAGGGGCTGTGGACAGTTGGCCAGCCAGTCCCACCCCCTGGTCCAATTCCTTATTAAACTCCTGGTCAAGGGGTCAATTTGCATATTAGCCTTTTATTATATAGGATATGCATAGCCCATGGACAGACAATAGTTTGGGAAAGACCTGCGGAGGGGAAATAAAAGACTGTATAATTACAAAAGACTTTTACTACAAAAGAAATAAAAGATAATAAAATATAATTACTTATAAAAAGAAATTATTATAAAGCATTAAAGTGAAAAAGCAGTATAGCAAAAGAATTAAGAGTAAGTGTGTATTTTTTTAAATCTTTATTGTTGAGATTATTACAGATGTTCATCTTCCCCTTCCCCACCCATGGCTCCCCTCCACCTGGTTCCCACCACACCTCAGGCCCACGCCACCCTATTGTCTGTGTCCAAAGATAATGAATAGATGAATATAAGATCTTTGTTTAATCTCTTTCCGTACCCGCTCACCTCCCTTCACTCTGAGAATCGTCAGTTTGTTCCATTTTCATGCCCCTGATTCTATTTCATTCACCAGTTTATTCTGTTTATCAGATTTTTTTATTCATTTGATTTTTAGATTCCCTTGTTGATAGATGTGTTGTCACTTTGTTCATATTTTTTATCTTTACCTTTTTCTTCTTCTTCCTCCTCTTAAAGAATACTCTTCAGCATTTCATATAATCCTTGTTTGGTGGTGGTGAACTCCTTTAGCTTTTTCTTGTCTGTGAAGCTCTTTATCTGACCTTCAATTCTAAATTACAGCTTTGCTGAGTAGAGTCATCTTGATTATAGGTTCTTGCTATTCATTACTTTGAATATTTCTTGCCACTCCCTTCTTATCTGAATAGTTTCTGTTGAGAAATCAGCTGACAGTCGTATGGGCACTCCCTTGTAGGTAACTAACTGTTTTTCTCTTGCTGCTTTTAAGATTCCCTCTTTGTCTTTCGCTTTTGGCATTTTAATTATGATGTAAGTTGGTGTGGTCCTCTTTGGATTCCTCTTGCTTGGGGTTCTCTGTCCTTCCTGGACTTGTAAGTCTATTTCTTTCACCATGTAGGGGAAGTTTTCTGTCATTATTTCTTCAAATAGGTTTTCAATATCTTGCTCTCTCTCTTCTGACACCTCCATAATTTGGATGTTGTTATGCTTGAAGTTGTCCTAGACGCTAATTACACTATCTTCATATTTTTGGATTCTTTTTTCTTTTTGCTCTTCTGGTTGGGTGTTTTTTACTTCCTTATATTTAAAATCACTGATTTGATTCTTGAGATCCTCTAGTCCAGCAGTTGCCAACCTTTCAGATCTCACAGACCACCAGTAGTCAACCGCTACTCTAGTCAACTGTTGAATCCCTGTATATTATTCTTTATTTCAGTCAGTGTATGCTTAATTTCTGACTGGTACTTTTCCTCTTTTCTTTCTGGCATTCTCACTAAGATAGTTGAAAATCTCACTAAGTTCCTTGGAGGTTTCTAGAAGATTATTGAGTACCCTTATAACTGTGGTTTTGAACTCTGTCACCAGTAGTTTGCTTTCTTCCATTTATTTCATTTGTTACTTCTTTGTCTCCACATTTTGGCTGCTTCCCTGTATTTGTTTCTATGCATTGGGTAGCTGTTAAATCTCCTTGAGTTGATAGAGTGGCCCTGTGTAGTAGGTGTCCTATAGAGCCCAGTGGCTCATACTCACCAATCTCCAGAGGTGGAAGCTTTTGGTGCACCCCTTTGTGGCAGTGAGCACAGTTTTGTTGTAATTGAGTCTTAACTGCAGTTGGTGTCACTGGGAAGAATTGATCTCCAGGCCAATTGACCGTGGGGGCCAAC